CTAATAATATTACCACAAGTGATAGCTACTCTAAACAAGAGAACTACTTATCAATTGATGATGTGAATGAAAGATTGTGTGATTATATATCAACCTTTGGTCAAAATATCAAATGACCTGAACGACAACAAAAGGCAAAAATGGCTTGGCCATCCAGAAGATGTGAATTTTCATAAAAAAAAAAAAAAGAATTCGCAAGACAATTAAAACTATTGGTCATTGATACACGTTCGATGCGAAGAGGAGAAAGAAATTCTTCGGCCAAGGACTCGGTTTGTCCACGAATATCTCGGATAAAGCCATGGAACCGCGAGCCTTTTGACAGCCAAGGCTCGAGCATGCCCCTGCGCTTAACAGGAATTCCGTCGTCCACTGGCAACCCTTAAACTCCCGGTGGCTTCTGCGGTGCTTGTATTACCTTAATTCGCCGCTGCCTAAGGACGATAGCGGAGGCAAAGCCTTCTCGGCGAAGGACTCCAGTTAACCGGTAGACCGATGACCCAGAGTACGCGCGCGGGTTATCGTAAGACATTCTTGCCTCGGTTTGATTTACTGGCTTCCCTTCAGTTGCTGTGGTAACTTAACCGTTATCTGCTAACGTTGCCTATATTCGAACCCTGTGCTATACTTGTACTCTCTCTCTCTCTCTGCCTTCGTATACGTGTGCATGTAATCCGCGACGGTGCTAACGCTGTTTCAACGCCGGTTCCGTGTGATGAATCACCAGCCGTGTTCTTGCCTACGTCTATCCTTTCTTTTCCCTACCGAAAAACGTTCCTCCGTTCTTTCAAGCAAGGATCACCGATTGTCGCACACCAGTGATAGTTTGCACAACGATGAACGGACATTAGTGGCTATTTATTTTAAAACTTTCATCCTTCTTTCTGCCTTTCTTTCTTTCTTTCTTTCTTTCCTTCTCTCAGACTTGAACCGTGGACGTTCCATTGGTTCAAGGGGAATATCCTTTCGGAATGATGGGATCGGCGGGAAGGAAGCACAGTAGTAGTAGTCGGTCACAGGGTCGGCAACGCAGGTGGCTGCCCGTTGAGAGGTCTCCTCGAGGATCCTGGAGATCCGACGAAAGCCCGGCACCGAAGCGTCTTAAATCAGCGGCGCACACACCGACGAGAAAACAATATCGGCGTTTCTCTGCCAAAAGCCGCTTCTCTGCTCGCTCGTGAAATGGATTTCCCGTGCACGGTGGGAAATCAAGCCAACAACATGGTGCTACGTGCAACGCCGCGCGCGCCCTACCGTTGCCCCACTCGACGTTTTTATCCTCATTCCCAGCCAGCCTGCCGGGATCGATCTGGAAACTCGCTGGAAAAACCGTAATCACCTCGACCTGAAAACTGACCGAGAATCCCTTCGAACGCCGATCCAGATCCGTCTCGATGTTCGTCGCGCCTTCAACTTGTTACTCCACCTTGCGATCGATGAATATTCAACGTAC